GATTTTACCCTGAAATTTAAAAATAGCTTATAATATTCAACACTCCTAGTTTTCTTCTCTCTACCCAATTCTGGTATTCAGCAAAGCCAGTTTTTAAGATGAGACATTTCAATTCTTTGAGCCAAAAAATATCTTTTATCAAAGTCATAAGTTCTTTGAGTCAAAATAGTCTTTCTTATTTTATTGAGATAAAGTTCACAAAATAAAATTCATCTTTTTGACTCCTTTAAAGTTTATAATTCAGTGGTTTTTAGTATATTCAAAATGTTGTGCAACCATCACCACTATCTAATTCCAGAACATTTCCATCACCCCAAAAGAAACCCTGTACCTCCTAATTCTCTTTGCCAACTTCTAGTAATTACTAATCGATTTTCTGTCTCTATGGATTTGCCTGTTTTGGATATTTCACCTACATGAAATCATATAGTATGTGACTCCTTTCACTTAGCATAGTGTTTTCAAGGTTCATCCATTTTGTAGCATGTATCAGTCTTTCATTATATTTATGGCCAAAGGCAATGTTTGGATACAGTGGTTCTCAACCTTCTGGCCCTTTAAATACAGTTCCTCATGTTGTGACCCAACCATAAAATTATTTTCGTTGCTACTTCATAACTGTAATGTTGCTACTGTTATGAGTCATAATGTAAATATCTGATATGCAGGATGGTCTTAGGCGACCCCTGTGAAAGGGTTGTTCGACCGCCAAAGGGGTCAAAACCCACAGGTTGAGAACTGCTGAAGCACTTTTTGCTTATCCAATCATCAGTTGATGGACATTTGGCTTGTTTCTGCTTTCGGGTTATTATGAATAATTCTGCTATGGATATTCATGTGCAAGTTTTTGTGTGAACATATATTGCCAATTCTCTTGGTTTTATACCTAGAAATGGAATAGCTGGGTTGGATGGTAACTCTTATGTTTAACTTTTTGAGGAACTATCAAAACATTTCCACATTAGTTGTATCATTTTACATAAAAATATTTGACATATATTTGCTGTATGTGTGCAAAATATGTGTTTCTGTACTAGAGGGTTCCATTCCTACTTTCAAACAGTAAAAATAGTACTCAAGTGAATTTAATTCGGATTTTCAAGAAAGACAATTAAATAGAAGAAAATTCTACTTAGAGAAATGAAGCAATACTTTCTATGAAGCATTTTATGTATATATGTATATATAGATACATCTTTTTACTTCTCAAAAATATATTTGACATATAAAGAATTTGAGAGTATTTTTATTTTTAAGAATAAAAATTGATATTTATTCAGTTTAACTACCTACCACTAAGGAAAGACTATGTAAAATATTTTTTTTGAAGTTTTGAATATTTTCATCACTAACTATGAACAAGGAAAGTTATTATTTCAACCTTATAATCCATACTGTGTTTTAAGGGATATGTTTATATCTACCATGTACAGACTTTACACCTCACTTATGAACGGAATCATCTGGAAGAGAAGACTAAGGACTCAGACTGGCTGTGCAGTAAGCCATGCACATGGAGTTAGAAAGGTGCTCTTTCAGGTGGTTCAAGCTCTTGGCCACAAAGCCCTGGTGAGTAACCTCAGTGCTTTTATTCAATAATAACGCTTCCTCAATGTTGTTGTTTTTTAAAAAAAATTTTAAATTATTTCAGAGGGAAGGGAGAGGGAGAGAGAGATAGAAACATCATTGATGAGAGAGAAACATTGATCAGCTGCCTCCTGTACGCCACCGACTGGGGATCGAGCCCGAAACCCAGGCAGGTGCCCTTGACCAGAATCGGACCTGGGACCCTTCAGGCCATAGGCCAACACCCTATCCACTGAGCCTAACCAGCTAGGGCTCTATGTTGGTTTTATAGGTATGAATTATATGAATGCTTCACGTGTCAAACAGCCAGTCATTCCAGAAATAGATGGGTTATGCCTGCCATTTTGCATCTCGTTTTTATTATTAAACACAAATCCTTTCTATTCTCCCTGAATTGCACCCACATACTCGTACCGAAAGGGAAGGTGCCCACTTAAAGGCTGCAGGTCTGGCTCTTACACACTGGGTTTGAAGGGCAAAACGTTTCCTTTATGCTCAGAGCAGCAGAGTCCCTATAACTAGCAGAGTTAGCTCAATGCATTTCATGAGTGTGGTAAACAGGATACATGCCCCCAAAGAAGCCTACATCCGAATCCCATGACTATGTTTTGTTTCGTGGCAAAGGAGATTTACAGTCGCATGTGGAATTAAGATTGCTAATCAGCTAACCTTTCCAGGGGGAGATTATCTTGGATTATCAGGGTGGATCCAGTATAATCAGATGGGCCGTTTGAAGTAGGAGAAGGAGGCAGGAGAGTGAGAGTCCAAGAAGGGATGTGGGTAGAAGAGGAGGTCAGAGGGATACAGCAAGAGAGAGACTTGACCTGCCCCTGCTGGCGTTGAAGATGGAAGCAAGCATGAGCCAAGGAATGCGGGCAGCCTCTAGAATCCAGACAAGGCAGGGAAACCGACTCTCCCCTGGCATCTCCAGAAGGAACACAGCCCTGCCAATGCCTTGATTTTCACCGGTGAGACCCAGTGAGACCCATTTCGGACTTCTGGCCCCCAGACCATAAGATAATGAATGTGTGTTATGTGTTAAGCCTCTGAGTTTGTGGTAATGTGTTATAGCAGCAGTAGGAAGCTAATATGATATTGTTACAAGGGACTAAAAGAGACTTTGGGAGTTAAGGCAGAGAAACATTAAATAATGAAAAATATGAAAAGTTTTCAAGCTGATGAACACGTATTTTGGGCAATGAAGGAGGAGAGGGTGGTGGAAAGGAGCATGTAGTTATCAGAAGTGCCATCAAGTCTTACTTGTTTGAAGAGGATGTGGAGGAAACTGCAAAGTAATCTTAATTTTGAATGGTTCTTTAAAGAGCTCATTATTTTTTAACATATACTGCAGGAGGAGAGGAAAGACTGAGTGATGGGACTCAGACCTGACCTGACCGCCTCACCGCCCCTCTCACCCCTCACCCCCTGTTCCCCCGACTTGGTACCAGTCTGCCTGTGACTTTTTGAGCACATTATTCAACATTTCTGCGTCCCTTTCCAAACTATCTCCCTGTCCAGCTAGGTTTCCTTCCCTCCTACCTCCTTCTAGCTGGCTTTCCTTAATGTCATTCAGCATGCACTGTCTCTGCACCGTCCCTGGGCAAAGCCTCTCCTCTCTAGTTTTCATTCTGAGAGTCATTTTCCTTCACTCATCTATCCATCCAGGCCTCACCTTCAGTGTCTCCATGGTACCCAGCACAATGAGGACCTCACTAAGGGGTGTGCGTACTTCTGGACTGATTAGTAAGGGAAAAGGTAATGAAGACCACCAGAGAGAGGATAACGTTTATCTTGTCGCCAATGACAATCAGCTGGTGTCAACAGCCTATTAAATATAAGAAGTTTCCTAGAATTAATTCCTTTATTTATTTACTTATTTATTATGGTTTGCATGAAAAGGGACAGTTTATCTTCTTGTTGTATTGATCCCTTTAGTATTATGAAGTGGCCTTCCCTATCTCTTGTTATGGCCTTCACTTTGAGGTCTATTTTGTCCGATATAAGTATTGCTACCCCAGCTTTCTTTTCTGTTCCCATTGCCTGAAAGATATTTTTC